CAGAAAGCAAAAGTCCCATGATGTATACAAGAAGATCGTTATCAGGTCTGCTTCTGCGGTTAAATGTCTCAACACTCAGCTCATGAATAACCCTTATTTGAACATTCCCAATGTATTTCCATGGAAACAGATCTCATACTTTCCAGAAAAGAACAACAGTAAATTACAAAAAGTAATTACATGCTTCAGCATCCTCTATAAATTCACATTTTCCCACCAAGAACGTGTCAAACATTGTGATCTTGTTATACTTTGATATATAAATAGCTGTATATGGTATAAGGAAAGTTATGAAGGACCTAATATTTGTTTTCCCCATGTAAAGCTTTTTGAGCATCTTATTCATCATATTAGGTTTGATGTTAATAGACTAATGTGTCTCATTTTCTGACAGAATGTGTAACTAAGACCAGAATTTATCTTTCCCTTTTCTTCGAAGTGATTTCTACTTCACTTTTTTGTTCAACAATATCCTATAGTAAATACAAGTTCATTTCATCCTCTGCTTTAATGTGTATGAGGAGAGCTGTGAGGGTGGTTACTATATACAGTCTATAGTGGTTATACTAATGAGTTACGTAGCTCTCTTTATGCTGTTTTCATTCTGATATACTTTTATAATCATATGCTGTCAGATGTGGTTTCCAATGCTGAAGGACATTATTTGGTACAAAAGGTCACCAAGGTCAGCTGTAAAAGTGTGGCTTTCTTGGCAAAAATACAAATCCATTGCTTGCATGGAAAACATAGTGAGTTTTGCAAAATGAGCACAATGCAACAGCTTCTCACAAAGATAAATAACTTGATTAATTACTCTTTTTATTTCAACAATGTATATAAGAGAAATATTTTAATTAAATGCATTTTCATTATTTTGTCATCTGACATAGTAAGCTCATTTTCAGGTTCACATCTGTATTTCATACCTTTACTGTGACATGTCTCCATGATTTGATCAAAAAGCTCCTTAGCCTATCATGTAACAATGTGCTGGAGTGCTAGCCAAGTGTGCGTGGGAGAGAAACTCCCTCTGGAGGGAACACAGGGATTTTAGTCTTTGCAGACCATTTACATGCACAAAAACCTATATAACACACTACAGGAGAGGGACAACCTAAAAAAGCATTATAGGGCTTCTTTAATAATTAATGAAAGTTTGCCCACAGAAAAATAGGTTACCTTTAAAAAAGAAATCCACTGGCTATTGGGAAGAAATGACGGCATGTAAACCAGATCCAGAATTATATATGTGTCTGTGCATAAATAGGACAATTGCATGTATGTACGCACCCACACGCATGCTTGTGAATGCCCAGTCACAATTAATCACTTACAGTACAATCACAGCCATATATGCACAGTCATGAATGTTTAACAATAATATGAATGCATGTATGCTGAACTCTGTTCATGATGTCAGTGTTTCTAAATAAATGTGTTTATGCTGGTTTGTCAAACAAATGTCACTTTAACCAGCCTGAAGAAGAGTGGGGCTTTCAGTCTTTTCACTCAACAAAGTGTATTGAAATAGTAGTGCACTACTACTGAAACAAACTAACCCTTCTCTCAAGGGAATACAGAATTAAAGGGAAGCTTTTCAAATGTAATGGAGCCTGACTCAATACCCATCTTTGTACTAGGATTTATATCATTAATAGAAACTACAGCCCAATAATCTCCAGTGCTTTGTGAAACAAGGACAGAATACAGTTAGCTTTACTAATACTTTAAAAAAGCTGTAGTTACAGGAAAAAAGCATGAGAAACATACATATAGCTAATTTTCAACTAAGCTATAATTTTGTATTATTAATAGGCATGTATTTTCTTTTTTTGTTACCACTATCCGGGTAGTTAGTAAAGCCACTGTTTAGTATGGTTGACAGCGAGAGGGAATGTAGGTCAGTTTGACTGTCCATTTTTTGGGAGAGATGCAGAAACTTCCAAAAAAGATCGGATTCTGCTTTAATTTTAAGAAAGACACCTAAGGAGGCAGGGCCGGTTCTGACCAATTTGCTGCCCTAGGCGAGATTTTAGCGGGTGCCTGATAAGCCAACATCCCCCACTTTCATCACTTACAGCGCCCATCGTACAGGGCAAATGGAACGTGTAACCGGGGTGAAAAGGGTGTTACCTTTACTTAATTATGAATGCTGTTACATCAAGGCCGAAAATTAGGATAACAGTAAAAAAAAAAAAGTTCCATCCCAGAGCTACCAGCGCAGCGCCCCCCCAGATCTGGCGCCCTAGGCGACCGCCTATGCCGCCTATGCCAAAAACCGGTCCTGTAAGGAGGTAGAGTCTTTTAACTTCCACAGTGAGCAATGGGAGCCAAAAAGAAAATCTTCAGATTGGCCTGTTTCTGTTTTCAATTGTGAGCAACAAGGCTCAAATTGTTATTTTGTTTTGACGTATTTGAAAACCCAACCTAATTAGATATCCGAGACAGACAGGTTCTGCACGTACAACATGTTATCGATTGATTAAAAAAAGCCACCCACCTTCACTTGCATGGATTTGAAAATAAGAGCAATCACAAAGCTTTAAGTGTTAGCTCAATACTTCAGAGACAAACAGCATAGTCATACTGAGGAGTATACAAGCTGCAGCTGAATGTAATGAGCAGTTCAGTACAGTAAAGTATATTGTAGGGTTTGGTTTTTGGTATAGTATATTATAGTTTAGAATATATGGTATAGTATACTATAGTTTTGTACAGTATATCGTTGCATCGTATAGTATAATATGGAATAGTATAGTATAGAAAAATAAAATGTATGGTAATGTGGTATAGCATTATAGAAAACCTAGTATATTATAGTATAGTAAAACATGGCATAGTATAGTACAGTACAATATATTGTAGTATAATATGGTATAGTTCAGCATGGTATAGTTTAGTATAGTCTAGTAAAGTATAGTATGTAACAATACAGGGTAGAGAAGCGTAGTAAGGTTTATTCGGTATAGTGTAGTAATTTATAGTATATTAAAGTATAGAATACTTCAGTACAGTATAGCATGTTATGACTACAGCAAGCTCAACAACATGAAATCCTAAATTACTTAAAACAAACCAGAATTTACAGTGCTGTTCAACCATGAGAAACCAGAGAAAATTAGTCTTTGATAGCTTTCAACAACCACTTTAGATAAATAGCAGTTGCTCGGAGAGGAGAAACAACAATCAACACTAATCTCAAACTAATTGCCAGTAAAATATCGATACTCGGCACTCAGTGTGGAATGGATTTGGCCCGGTCTATTAAGTCCTGTAATCAGGGGGAGAGTCATGTACACAGTAGGCATCAAGAAGATTGCTGACTTTCTCTGATGTTGCCTATTATTACATAAGGGTTTCTTGTATTTATCAATTGACATATTTTTCATGGTATGATTATCTGTGGGGTGTGTACACAGTGCTGCAAGACACAGCCCAAGAAGTGACTCTCCACTTCCGACGTCATTCCTGATAGACTTCCAGTTTCAGTTAAAAAAATCCTTGATCAATGTCTTAAGTGTTTAAATCAGACATTAATTGTTAACTGTAAAATATTACATTCATCTGTTGTCACGTTACAGTGAACAGATTAGAAATAACTCTTGATTTTTTAAAACTTTTTTGCAATATTTGTACGCATTTTTTTCACATCACGACAGCAATAGAACAAAATCGAATGCTTTGACACAAAAAAGAAAATTAATCGGATATCCCGTATAAGACTTCCTTTTCTGTCGCTGCCCAATATTTAAAGTTTCATTGGCAACTTGAAACTGAAGACTGGAGTTGCGATACAACTTCTACGCTCGGTAAAGTCAGAAAGATATTGATAAATGGAGGTATAGGCATATGGAATATTTTCTATAAGAAAAACTAAATTAAAAAAAAACTGTAATTTCCCCTTACTTGTTGATGTGGTAAAACCAAGACCACTAATGTGTGAAGTGATTTTGGTAGCACTTTATTGTATGACTGGAAGTTTGGGAATATGTCTTTTCGGCATTGCACTTTGTAGACGGTCCCTGCGCATTCGTCCCTCCTTCGGCTGCAAATTGAGAACAATGCAAGTTGTCCAGCTTGGAAAACTGCGCGTTTTGGCTTGTTTTTAAAAATAAAAATGAGGTTTTAACTCATTGTCTACCTTGCAACTGTTGTTAATATAATTGTTATCGATCTTCGAATCAGTCAATTTCTCTCTAACTTTCCCAAACTAAGTGTGACCTGAAAGTCTTGCAGCTCTGTCCATGGTTCTGAAAAGTTATTGAAAAATAAATCCCAATTTTACAGAAATAGCTCTTTGTTGTCCCTGTGATCGTGAATAATTTATCTCGCACCGCCGTTCCGTGCTGACATTTGCTCACATGTCCCCGGGTAAGCGCGACAGGAGCATGAATCCCTCATCAGAGGAAAGAGAAAGGTCAAGTCTTATTGATTTCCCTATGCAAACGCGCTCTATTTTGTCGAAATCAAACCTCCAAAGTTGGACTCAGGTCATCCTCATCTTCCTTTTCATTCGACTTGTATTATGCTCTATACAGGCTGAAATTAGGTAATAGTCTGGATAGTAGCTCTAGCAAAATAGACTTATATTTAGTGATAAATGTACAGAGGCTGTAAATGCTTCTGTATGTTGGTGGTCAATCAGCGGTGCGTAAAACGCGCGCTCAGGGGTGGGGACTCCTTTGGAGAGGCAGGACCAGAGAGTAAAACAGGACGAGTCTGCATCCACAGGTTGCCGCGCGCCTCTCTCCTCCTCTCAGTGAATCTTTAGATTGCTGACAGTGGAGGAGAACCGTTTTGGACTTGGGCTGCATAGAATCTCATTAGCAAAATGCCAAATCAACCGCCTCGGGACAACTCGATATATAAGAATGTAATCTTATTGCGCTGGACGTTTCTGTCGTAAAAAAAACACCTGTTTATTCCGAGGACGGTGCGTTTTTATTCCTGAACACCATGCCACCTCACATGAGCTGCACCACGCTGACAACAGCTACATAATGGCATGTAGGAGCGGCTCCGGTCCAATAAACGAGGATAACGCAAGGTTCCTGCTGCTGGCATTGTTCATCATCATCTATCTCCTCTGTGGGGCCGCAGTCTTCTCCGCGCTGGAGCAGCCAAAGGAGCGAGAGGCGAAGGAGCGCTGGGAGCAGAGGTTCGAGCATTTCAGCCAGAAGTACAACCTGAGTAAGAAAGACCTCAACAACTTCCTGAGGAACTACGAGGAGGCGAACGTGGCGGGGATCCGCGTGGACACAATCCGACCTCGATGGGACTTCACCGGCGCGTTTTACTTCGTGGGGACGGTGGTGTCAACAATTGGTGAGATGGAGAAAAGTCGCGTTTTAAAACAGTGAATTTGCGATTTTCTCTGTCAGCTCTATCATCTTTTTATTTAAATCATTTTAAAATCCACTATTTAGTATCTCCATAATCTTCATAAAGTCCTTGTTTGCAAGAAACTATCTTAAATATCACAGCTACTCCACAACTACTCCACAGCTACTCCACGAGCCAACATAAAAATAAATGTAAATAGAAATGTACCCCCTTACTGTATTTTATGTTAGTAGGATGTTCAAAGCCCAGTTATCTGATGTTTGAATTGTCATAGAAGCATAAATACTTGCCCAACAAAGAGCCAGCATGTACACACTATTCCTGGAACAAGCACACCTGATTATAATTAAGCCGTAATTAGAGACATGAGTTGCACCTGTGACAAGTCGAAATCCTGATTTGCATTCAATTAGGACCTCCACTTTTCTCATATCTGTTTGTGTATGTTTATTTAGTCCAAAGAGATATACTTCAAGTTATTCTTTATAGTAACATCGCTGTGTAATATTTATTGGCCATGACTTGTGATTTGATCCAGTAGGTTCAACCGAACAAGGCTATAGGAAAAAGGCAATTTAGAGCAAGATTTGTCCTTGACAACCGTTTTTTCCATTTCAGTATAGGCTGCTTCTGAGAGTCAGTATTTCATAAACAGTGAAGCCATATTCCCCTAACCAATAGCACTGTTAAACGACAGCCCTGTTGATATTATGTTGTCGATATCATGGATTTGATCCGACCCTACACTCTCAATGTTTTTTTCCCTCATTAGCTAAGCAGTAGTCATCTTCACCTGTAATTGGAGTGAGTTGTTTCATGATTATTGACAGTTTGACAGATTGATTATGGGCATTAGTTATGTTGATGATGGTCCAGACTGTTCTTAACTGAACACATTGTGATTAATGTTGGTCTAAAAAAAGTGATCTCCATATTGATCCGATGATTCACCCGTGATTACTAATATACCAGGGGAAAAAGGAAGACAATGATTGTTTGTAGCCTCATTATCAGTTTTTGGAGGATGTATACAGCCCCTCATCGAGAGCACTTTTTGCATCAACAACCCAAACCCGACTCTCGCCCTGACAAAAAGAGGTGATGTATAGGCACCAAAGCTACTTCCAATAGAAATACATTGTTTTTAAAATCATTCTATGTGACAAAAATAGTGTTGGGTGAGACGGGTTTGGCTTCAGAGCATACATGGAAGAGAAGCCTTCAAGAGAGCATTGCAGCCTTTCATGTTTATGCATAACATATGCACATTATGTTCTCGTGCAGACTTTCACTGATGTGGAGTCTTCAGTGAATGGCTTAGTATATGTTTTTTAAGGTTTTGATATATATATATATATATATATATATATATATATATATATATATATATATATATATATATATATATATATATATATATATATATATATATATATAACATAACAAATTTAAAGCAATAGTTTGACTTTTGGATCGTGGGTTGATATTACAACAAGGACCATGTCCTTTGAATTTACTACATAAATATGTCAAACTGAGGATATCTTTAAAAAAAAAAAAATGGAATAAAAAAACCGGGGAAAAACTGGAACCAGCAGCTCTTCCCACTACCACTTCACAACTTTGAATGCTACAGCTAGCAACCTGTTAGCCTAGCTTAGCTTATTTTAGCACACAGTCTGGAAACAGAAACAGCTAACATGGCTCAAGGTCCAAAAATAACAATATATGTCTACCAGCCACTTCTAAATCTCAACCTAACCCAAACACTTACGGATAACAACAATTTGTTTTTTTTAAGGTGCTTATGTGAAATTTGGTAAGCTTACTTTGGACAAACAAATAAAGCTTGTATTAAGCTATAGCTAACAAGCTCTTGAATGTAGCTTCATATTTACATATTTATCTAACTCTCCCGAAAAAAAGCCATCAGCCATACTTCCCACAAAGATAAACTAATTATTTTCTTTGAGTGACTAATGTTTAATTTGAGAGGGAAATAAGTCAGCACTTTGTAGCCCATCTCCGGCAGCCCATTAACGCTTATCAGGAGTATACCTTTTATTCCTGATGCTGGTGTCAAACTGACAGAGAAGCACAGTATCTTTTATGTCTTTCATGTAGACCACTGTATTTCATTGAATAGGTCAAATGACTCATCCACACTACATTCAACTGAGCTCACGAAACAATGAGGAAGAAAATCATTAAATCCATGCCATTTGGATTTATCGTCATGGTTAAAGGAAATTGATGGGTCAATTAGAACCTTGGGACCAAATCTGAATGTGGAGGCCATCAAATCCTTAATCAGGACCGGCCACTGGCATAACCACAATAAGCAGTTATTTAGGGGGCCAGTCTAGCTTTTTATATGTGGCAGCAGTTACTACTCATTTGAGGCCAGTCATACATTTTACTATTACAAACCATCACTTCAAAACATTGGTGCATGATAGAAAAATCGTGTGTCAGTTCCGCCCCACATGCTCTGAATGCGTTTCATGTGAGTGTAAGAGATGCCCAGCTGAGAGGCTGTATCACGCAGAGATAGCAGAGTGTCGTCTTCAGTATTAAAAAAATTGATGCCAAAATTCATTAAGAATTGTGGTGAGCATTAAAGAACGCTGCATTTCTAAGTAGCAGGATAATGTCATGACATGTAAGGATAATTAGACTGCCTCAGCCTTATACGTTTTCATTTGGTCTTTTAACACTCTAAAGTCTCCCCTGAGTCATGATTTAAAATGTGATGCCCTGGAACTTCCTGCAGTAATTTGATCAAGCATATAGCTTTTTCCTTATTATACATGTTGGCTTTATGCCTGCACGGAGCCCTATCTGCAAAATTAGTTTAGGCCCACCACAATCCTAGGGTCGGCCTTGAAAGGAGATTCAGTCAAATGTATCTTTGCTTTTCTAGTGAAAAGGCTCTTGTCAGAATTCCAAGCTGCACAACAAAACAGCGTGCATGTAACTGAATCTGCAGACAATAACATTGTTATGAAGATATCAAACTCAAACAGGTGAACAGACACAGACAGTGCTTCATTGAGCTTTAAGTGCTAAATGAGGGATGAAAAGGAGACATCGCTGAGATCTGTGCGATCGATGGATGCACCTCTCGGCTTGAGTCCTATTTTGTTTCTCTGCCAGTTCAAAAGAGACAAAGAGAGGTCACACACCAACAGTGTGTCTGTTACCCTTATACATAGAAAACAGTTTAATGGGTTCTTACCTTTTAAAAATGATAGAACATGATACAATTGACATGTGAAGTGGCCCCAGTGGGACTTTCACTTGCTAAATAACAGTAGGGAATACGGTGAAATCTTAGAGAAACGGACACCTTTGATCTGATTGTCAAGATGTGCTTGGATTGAAAACACATTTGCGCTTTGATTAAGTGAGTGACAAAGAGACAGAGCGAGAAGGAGAGCACGTCACCAATGGCAACTAAGGGGTTCAGCCAGTGTTGTGAGAATGATTTCCCTCTCTGAGAAGAAAAGATCAGTAATTAGCCTTCTTTGTTAATGGCATAAAGGATATGAGTTTGATTAAAAAGGTAAATACAATTAGCTGGAGGCAATGGACACAATGGTCTTCTCTACAAAGGATCCATTCATTTACAACAGTGTGTGCGATAGTTTTCCAGTGATAATAATGCTTCTCTTGTGCTTTTTGAAGCGTTTATTCTCTCCATTTTATTCAGAGCCACCTGCACCTGCAAAAGTCAAGGAGTTTAGCTACTCTCTGAACGTGAGCTTGCCATACCACCAGTCCTATTATGTATATATTTCCTTATTGCATATCTTTGTGTGTTTCCAAGGGTTCGGTATGACCACTCCTGCCACCATTGGAGGAAAAGTCTTCTTGATGTTCTACGGCCTGCTCGGTTGCGCTGCCACCATCCTCTTCTTCAACCTCTTTCTGGAGCGTGTCATCACAGTCATCGCCGTGGTCCTCAAGTCCTGTCACGAACATCGGCATAAAAAAGCTGCGCTTGCATCAAATGGCCAGCGGGTGTCTGAGGGAAACAGAGCTGGTGGAAATGGAGGAGAAAGAGGAGAGGATCTGGATGGCTGGAAGCCTTCAGTTTACTGCGTCATGTTCATTCTAGGCATGGCGGCCATTGTGGTGTCCTGCTCTGCCTCGCTCATGTACTCTGCAGCCGAGGGTTGGGACTACCTGGACTCGCTCTACTTCTGCTTTGTGGCCTTTAGCACAATTGGTTTTGGAGACATGGTGAGCAGCCAGCGGGCGGTGTACGAGGGCCACGCCACAGTCGCGTATAGGTTGGGCAACTTCTTCTTCATCCTGACCGGCGTCTGCTGCATCTACTCCCTCTTCAACGTCATCTCCATCGTCATCAAGCAGGTCCTGAACTGGCTCCTGAGGAGGCTGGACACACCCTGCCGCTGCTGTTTCCCCAGGAGGGGTCACCACTCACACCGGCACCCCCGACGGAACGTGGTGGCACCGGGCCACCTGCGCGCCCGCAGAGACCCCTCCATCGAGACGGATGCCCTCAACGAAAGTGAGACCGACAACGGGCGCAGGATGTCTGGGGAGATGATCTCCATGAGGGACTTTCTTGCAGCCAACAAGGTGAGAGCTTCACGGTGTTACTGACAGAGTCATTTCATCTATCTAATGTCATTACGTGTTATGACGCTCAACATATTCAGTTATCTCCCAGGGTAATTTAATTTAAACTGCTCACAAGATTAGGAAAACGGACATTCATTCAATCTTGTTGGTTCCCTGTAGTCATGCTTACTTTAGTCATTAACTCCTCATTCACCCTGCTCTGTCATCTTGCTCCTCATAACCTGTATTGAACTTTGCTCTGCTCTAATGCAGCTGTTCTGCATAATTGGCAATGAAGAAACTCCAACATAAAAGTAACCTATCATATAATAGAAGGGATATATGGAGAAAATCTAATATCCCGATATTTCTGATCAATTGCTCCGATATTTGACGATATAAACACAATGTGATGCCGTTTTGGAAAAAGTAAACATCTGGAATTTGGATATAATTGCTAAGAGGGTTCAAATGTATGTTCATAAAATTACAGCACTTTACTGCCTTTGAAAGAAGAAACATTTGCGATATTACGATATCCAAAATGTAGGACGATATCATAGTCTATCATGATATCCATTTTATATATATAAACCTAACACAAAAAGTAAGGCAATTTGTGTTTGGTTGATGATTTCTATGTTGAAACAATGCTTTTTGGCAATAAATCTTATACCGTTATATGCTGTTTTCTTACCTTTCCAGTGGTACCACATTTGTGAGGAACAAGCATTTTTGGGATGAGCAGCAGAGCTGAGTATGTGGGGTGCGCCCATGAAAAATGTGACAAATCTCCTCTGCCAATGCCAAACATATTTTTGTTGCTGCTGACTCTAGTTTTGTGTTGTTTGGTGGATTGGATGATAGAAGTCTGATAAATAAAGACATATTGGCAACAATTGATTTATTAACAATTGATTCATTTAACAAGCAGCCTCAGTAGCGTGTGGAAGAACCAAACACAGCCACAACAGCCTCTCCTCCTCATGCTGGTCACCAGCCTGCTCACACTCTGCTGTGGGATGGCATCCCATTCTTCAACCAGCATTTGTCCCAGGTCAGCCAACGTGGTTGTGTTGGTCACTCTGGAGCGGACAGCAGGGCCAAGTTGATCCCCAAAATGGGGTTCAATGGGGTTGACGTCAGGACTGCAGGCCATCCCATCCTCTCCACTCCTACTCTATCGGTGCAGCAGTCAGCAAAGCCTTCTCTGCGTCTTCTCCACACTGTGACCCTACGATCCATGTGCCGTAGGCAGAATCTAGACTCATCGCTGAACATAATGTTCCTCCACATGTTGAGGTTCCTGTTTAAGTGGGCCTGACGGTGTAGGGCAGTCATGGCAGGCCTCCTGGCAGCCGTACGAGACCGGAGAGTGGCTGCTGTTTGGCATTGGCAGAGGAGATTTGTCACATTTTTCATGGGCGCATCCCACATACTCAGCTCTGCTGCTCATCCCACAAATGCTTGTTCCTCACAAATGTGGTACCATTGGAAAGGTAAGAAAACAAGCTTTCCAACGGTATAAGATTTATTCCCAAAAGGTATTGTTACAACATATAAATCATCTACCAAACACAAATTGCCTTACTTCTTGTGTTAAGTTTATATATTACCCAGCCTCATAGTGCTGTTTCCCTTTAAACACACCAATATTAAATCATCTGTTATAACTAGATTACAAGTATTTAAACAAAAGTTTACTTAAAAAGGTAGCGTAGTGCAAGTCATAGTTTGACTTCCTGGAAGAAGCAGTATGATTTTGTTGCTGTTTTCTAGGCTACATGGATATTATGTGTAAAATGTATCTGAATACAAATTCCCTACTCCATTGCTATCACCCTTTCAAGAGCCCTCTGAGACACTCAGAGGTGTCAATTGTCCATACATTTCCATAACTGCCACCCTACTTTTCCGACGAGACGAATGAGCAGTGTGTGCTGTTGAATATCAAATTGTTGCTCACTCACTCCAGGGTTATTCTCGACTGGAAGTACAACATCTGAATGTTCACACCTGGTTATTATTCTGATTACTGAGCCTGAAGTTTCTGGCTGAGATCATTAGAAGACAAAATGGTGTGATGTTTCAAGGATGTGAATATCCTGACGCAAACTAGCCAAATCTCCAGCGATGTCACTTCCATTTACCTGCTTCATTGACTATTAATAACTATTAACAACATTAATTTATTCCTAGGCATAGGCATAGGTGGAGCCAAGAGAAAGACAAAGGAAACGACAGGAAAATCAGAGATATTTTTATAGGCAAGGGGACTGGTAAGTGTTATTAGAAAATACATGCTAGCAGGGCTTTTTTAAGCACGTTGTAGTATTGCGACTACCCATCCATAGTTCATTATATGTATTTAAAAATGGCATCAGAACTTCAGTAACACAGATCTAACAAGGCTTAATGATGCTTAACACATGTCCAATTAGAGCTATGAAGAGATTACGGTTGCCGACAGGGGCAACCGTAAGGCTAAAAAAGAAATATTTGATTATGGAAGTGCAACTGACAAAAAAATTATAATATATATATTTGCATTACATATAAGTATATGTGGTCAATACCAACAAAAGCAAATGCAATGTGGCAGTCCAATTTTGAATAAAAAGCACAAGTGTTCAAAGCTGGATTCTGCCTATCTGATAACATCAGAGTGCCACAGGAATAGCATTTAAAGTCTGAAAAAGTGGCAGGGTACATATTGTACGTGTGCAAAGAGGAATAAGAGAGAAAATGAGGGGAAAGGGAGGGGTGGAGAGGATGTAGACGAGACATGTCATAGAAAAACAGAATGCTGCTGTTGCATAATGTAACAAACGGGCCTTTAGATGTTCAATCAGGGACAGCTGCACATTGAAGATGTGTATATAGACTTTAGTGGCAACATGGACCTGTACTTTATTAAGGCCTTAAACGTTTCAATGCAGGGGGATAGGTGGAAACATTCTTAGAGATACACCTCCAAACACTGAGTCATTTTTATAAATATGACTTTGTCTGTCATTGACCAGAACAGGGGTGGCCAACCCGCGGCTCTTTGCCCAGTTTGCCCAGCTCTTCAGTTCATATCAACTTTTATATGTGTGAGTGTGGCACAGACTCCTGACAGTTAAACCTGATATTTAGTAGGTCTGTTAAGTATTGAATGCTGATAATTCTGACGTAATTTGGCCGGTCAAAGTTGTTTGGGCTCGGATAAAATCGCTCCGTTACTTTCGTCCCGTGTTACTTTAGTCTGAAAAATTATAGGGGGGCTTCCATATCCGGCAGCCAGCCACAACACCTTCTCTGCCGGATATGGAAGCCCCTCTTTAGTTTTGTACCTGCTGGGCCCAGAGTAAAATGCTTTGGTGAGCATAAAGTAGAGGGGAACAGCAAACACCAGTGTGATTTTGGTGAAGTTGTGACTATCCTGGATAAAGATATAGGGAGGGTTCCAAATCCGGCAGCACCAACACCTTCTCTGCCGGATTTGGAAGCCCCTCTTTAGTTTTTCACCTGCTGGGCCCAGAGTAACATGCTTTTGTGAGCACAAAGTAGAGGGGAACAGCAAACACCAGTGTGATTTTGGTGAGTGTATGACCATCCTGGACAAAATGATAGGGGGGGTTCCAAATCTGGCAGGAGAAATACCTGCTCTGCTGAACATGTTATGTAGAGAACAGTGCAGATCTTCCCTATTGACACCAGGATTAACCTAGTCTAAAATAAGGAACATTAATAGTGTGATATAGGCACAGATATAAGATCAATAATACACTTTATTTTAGGGCACCTTTCAAAGCATTCCATGTCACCTTAAAATACAATAAAAAATAAAATATGAGTGGCATTACAATACAAACATGTGTTGAGTAGGAAACCACAGAGGAAAATTACATTCAAAGGAGCAATTAAAGCGAGTGAAGCCAGTTTGAACACATTATCTTTTAGGATTGATTGAAAATAACACGGTGTCTGACATGTTATATCATTACTGTATGCACATTATTTATTCAGCCGTTTGCTGTTTAATCTGATGGGAAATATATCATTCAAAAGAGAGAAAGTAAATAGAAAACTAGGCGAACGCTCAATACAGGCGATGACGTAACCTTTGTGCGTCCCCGCGAACAGGGCTTCAATCATGGCTTCAATCTACGGCAAGGCTTCAACCTACGGCATAACACCTGTTCTCCCTACGTGTGTATGTGTGGTGTCAGGTGTCAGTATGAGAGGATGACAGCGCGTCTAATTTTAATGTGGCCCAAGAGCCAATCACAATAATACCTGCGATGCAGTGAACCATTCACCTTTGAGTGGGGGAAAACCTATCGTTGATTAAACACTATCTGACCATGAACTGAGTTTGATCCTAAAATGGCAGGGAAGAAATGCACAGCTAAGCGAAAAATATGAAGACGAACATAGGACGTTTTTAGTAGAGTGGGAGAGTTCATATTTTTTTATCGAACGCAATTGCAAGCCATTTTGCCTTATATGCCAGACAGCATTAACCCATTTCAAGGCTTCAAATCTTCAGTGCCATTTCACCTCACTCCATGCTAACATCGACCAGGACTTCCCAAAAGGTACGGAACTTCGCAAGCAGAAGATAAACACCTTGACAATGTTCATTGTTATGTTGTTATGTTGTTATGTTAACTGGCCTCTGAATACTGGTAGGAGAGGTTTAATTCAATTTCTGTCAATATTATGGTGTGTGACATTTACAATAAATCTGTCTGAGCAGAGCTATGTGTGTCTCTCTGTGTGGGGAGGGTCTTTGAGTGTGTGTGTGGGTGTGTGTAAAGTTTTAGATTTTCATTTCATCTGTGTGAGAGAGAGAGGGGAGGAAGAAAGTGAAGGAGCACAGAGAAAGACTGAGAACAAAAGAGAGAAGGAGGGAGGGGGGGGGTGCACGTGCATCTGTGACTGTGTGTTTGATGTGGCTCTTTGCAGTAACATAGTAACATTTTTGGCTCTTAACCTCTGACTGGTTGGCCACCGCTGGACCAGACACTGAAGACGAGGTCATCGTGTCATGGTCATCCTCAGCATATTATGTGACAACCTCATCCAATTAAAATGCTATAATTTCAGGTATAACAATATAAGTTTAGAGGTTAAGGTGATTCAGCAACTAACCATACTCATACGTCCTTGAGGTGGTCTGAAGTGAAACAGAAAGAGAATTGAGACCTCTTTCAAATACATTCACACAAGAAACATATCCGTTTTCTGTTGGTCCACTATATGGTTAGTTTAAAAGAGTCTATATGTGAAAACATCCTTAATTTCCCTCACTTCAGGTACATGTTTAACTTGTAGAAGAACAGAACACTTTCATTAACTACACTCAGAAACCCAAGACATTTAGGTTGATGATTAAAATCTGTGGACTACAAACATTTAGGGTTAAGGCTTCAATGACAAGGCCAACATGCTTGTACTAGCCAAGTATAATGTCTACAAGTACACCATCTCAGTTTGTTTTTTAGCTTATTAGCTCCGAACACAAGGTACAGATTAAGTTTATGGGAATGTCATTATAGTTTCCCATTAAATTAGAGAAATTGGTGATTTGCCTGATGATGGTGCTAGATGAAACATCATATGGATCACCAGAGTTAATAAAAAAACATCCAGAGGGGAGCATGAAAGTCTATAACAAATTCCATGGCAATCCATTGGATATTTTTTGAGATATTACAATATGAGTAGTGCAAGACTCAGGGGATCACCAAAGTTAGAAGGCTTCTCCCACGTGGGGCTTTCTGTACTGTACACATTTCCTGATAAATCATCTCAAGAGCTGTTGAAATATGTCTGTCTGGATGAAAGACAAACATCCAGTCATGCAACTACCATGGCTAAGAATACCCATTAATCCAAAATACAGTTCCATTAAATATTCATTCATATTAAATGTTAAACAATATTACACATCAGTAATGTTTATTCCCTACAGGTTGTTTTGTACACTGATAAAGCAAAAAGAAGGTTGCCTTGTGGGAGAGTAAATATCTGCTTTCTGTCAGTAATACTTGCTCAGTATTTGTCGTCCTTATTCACATAAATCGACACCACAAAAGGAGAGGAAAGGCACCATCTGGTAGCCTCATATCACACCTGTGAAATCAGATGTGTGTGCTGCCAACACATTGTAATATCCTCATTGTGCAAGGCTTCACAGGTTGCAGCTACCACTTCCAAACACAGACAGCAAATATATCCTCATCTGTTCATTTCTTTATCTCTTTCCCTTCCTGCAGGTCAATCTGGCTATTATGCAGAAGCAGCTTTCCGAGATGGCCATTGGGCACCCGCGCCAGTCCAGCTCCAATTCACGTCAGAACGGATTCTCAGGAGGGGTGGGAGCCCTTGGCATCATGAACAACCGTTTGGCAGAGACTAGCGTGGACAGATAGGGCAGACAATTATTTTTAGGGGTAACAAAAGGCTGCAAGGATAAGCCGATAAGGACACATTTCCACTGGGGAAAGCCTTCCTGGAAAAAAGAAAATGAGACTTTGGGTGGTTTAAAGACTGAATACATGACTAATTCATCCATTGACAGCACGCTGACTCCCAGCAGCAATCATCTCCGCCAACTTCCCTGTCAAGAACATGGCTACACTAATGATGAATTAGAGGGGCTGGAGTCTGTCTTCTGGACCAGAATGTTACCACATGAGGAATTCAGTTGCCATGGTGATATAAAAAAAAGGCCTGTCTGGAGTACTTGTATCTAAGCCTTAAAATCCTAATGCACTACACGCTTCTTCACAACTGAACGCAACTTCTACTTACATATCGTACTTAACAAGACTCACTATGGCTCTACCCACATCCATAATGACATAAAAATAGCTTTAATAAAATGGATGTTACTTGGTTTCGTGTCTAACAGTAGTAATTACATGAAGCTGGGTGAAATGTAGAAAGGAAAAGCTGAATTAATGGCTAATTTGATGTTTTGATCCTGAATGCATCATTTTACAATTAGACTTTCAATGCCACACTCGTTATAAATGTTTCAAAGCCTTTTTATATGCCATTCAATAGCCTCCATCTTGGCAATGCTTAAATGAATTATATCGACAAATAGAAGAAAAAAAATCCCAGGAGAACCTTATTATAAAATAAACAGACCTATTATCTTCAGCTGAATGGGTGATGTTTTGCGACTGAGATGAAACCTATTATGTTAGACTGATGTTTACTTTTTGGTTTGCAGCACTTTCTCCAGGCACAGACGCAGATAGAAGGACATTTTCACACTGATGTTGTCTTACAGTCCCAGGAGGTTGGCAGTTATATAACGTGTCGAAAAAGGTAGCTCCAGGGGCTATTCTTTTTCCTTTTAGCACAACAGTGTAAGGTTTCCTGTAGTCTAGGTTTACCGCAGATGCAGTTACTAAAATGGACGGACTGTTCAAAACATGCCTACACTGATTGACCGAAACCTGAAATCAGCCACGCATGAAGACAACTTGTGGACACTATATAATTAACTGCAATTTAATAGGTATCTTAATTATCTTTGTTCATTCATCTGAGAGGAATTTACAGGTTGAGAATACTTGTGCTCCACATCTGACGTCAACAGCTTTTGGAATCTGAATTGTGTAAGAAGTGTCTGAACAAAAGCAGACAGGCAATGTTTTTTGTTGATAAATTGATAATCAAGCAAACCTGCACAGAAAGCATGTGCTATATTTTTGTACGGGGTCTGCATACATTTTTTTTAGGATGATGATGAAAGTAGAAGGAGGTCGGATTCAGATGGCACACAGCATTAATAATATGCAGTGTGAAGATTGAAGAATGTATTTGTATAATAAAAAAGAAAAACAATGTAAGTGAATATTTGTTACAACCATTTCCCCATATGGAGTTTTTTTAATCAGGATCGGTAATATAATATGCACAGCTAACCTTTGAAGCTTTGGATGTCTCAACCTGCTAGAGCAGTGTTATTTTCTGAGTCTAGTAATAGTGTCTTTGTGTAACTTTTCCCAAACAAAAAACACAAAAAAGGGTGCTTTAAGGTGTTTTTAAACTAAGTTTTCATCTGCTCTAATGTAAGCTAATGTCATGAGCATAACCAAACTAGCTTATGAAATACAGGAGCAACTCCAATGCCAAAAAGCCTTATATTGTATAAAATAATTGGACGTAGTCAATATTGGATTGTGGACTACCATTTTGGAAGCCTCGAGTTTGGTCATTTAAATGGGGGGCATCTTGTTTTTTTGTGAGCATTGTTGTTTTTTGTGAGCATTTTTCAAAAATTAACGTTAGCTCTAGCAAGCTAGTTTGATTAGCAAGTGTATATGTGAAATTCACACTAAGATATCAGTTGGTACCCTCCTTTTGACTTGCAAAAAGACATGTTTAACAGAAAATACACTTTCCCCAAAAAGTGAAAAGCCAATTACTAAAGTAGTGTACAACTGAACGCTGAAACAAAAGCTTGGTAGCAACGCAGTGTTAGGGACACCATGGTAGAAGCTCCCTAAGGCATACCCTGTCCCTTATCCTTTTTACTCTTTTTTTTTTTTTAACTCTAAATGGGACCACCAAAACTAGCAATCGAGACCATAAACCCATTAGGACATTTTTTTACTGAAGTAAGCCTTGACTCTTTGGACAAGGAGGTTGCCCCTTGAGAACAGCTAATGAGCACTAATTCCACTGTGTGGTCATTCTCCACCTTATAGCTCTTCCTGGATGCTGCAAGATCTGCTTTTCTCTTTACTGGATTTGAGGAAGTTTGTACACTCGAGCCATGCATGCAGCTTTAGCCTCAGTCTTTAAGCACAATATCATATTTGTCAAGTCTTATACAAGAATATTTTCTTTAACAATTGTTGTTTAATGCTGGAAACATTGAAAAGTAAGCCAGAGACAGTCTTTTATAACAACTAATTTTGCAAATGTTAGCTTAGTTAGCAAACGCTTGATTAAAATCCCGAACCACTTTAATGTAATATCTTATAAACAGTAAGAACACTGACAAAAATAACCTGAATTTGGCAGCCTCCTTTTTTTGCTATGGAGATAGTCCCACACTAGGAAAGAATATTCTGACACACAAACTGCAATGATGTTGCTTAGCTATTGTCAACGCAGATGCATGATGCACACACACACAATCACAGAGAAGCGGTGCCTACACAGATAATTATAGCTTTGAACAGATGCTTGTGTGTTCCTATTATTCTGTATGTGTGCACAAGTGCATGTGTGTGTGCTACAGACGAGACTCGGACAGATGCAGACATACAAAGACTCTTTGTCAAAGCTGTAGTCTGAGTTAAGGCAACTCCCAGAGAATTACTGACACTGCTTTCAGACCCTTTGCATTGGAGACAATTTGATGCTCAGTATGATGGAACAGTCATGTGGTTTTATTATGCTCTTCTGCAGAGGTTGTCTCAGGCATGTAAGGTTTAGAGGGAAATCCTTTAAAAGGTGGGTATTTTATGATGATGTTCACAATAGGTGTGCAAACTCTGTGTACCTTAGTGAAGATGCATGTGTGACCATACTGTGAAGACATTTGAGAATAAATGAAAGTGAGTGTATTTTCCTTACTATGACTGATACATTTTTTTGGAAAAAACACAAGTTTATATATTACACGTATTATATAATGTGTAATATATGCAACCATTTGGGTCAGGTAATGGCTTTGCACATATACAGACATGTCCGACCAGTGGGATTAGCTACGCAACAAGTGAAAACCTTGCCCAATTAGCTAATTACCTTAATGAATAATTGGAATTGTTGGAATGCGTTGTCATGTTGTGTGCATAATTATTGATTGATCATCGGCATGACTGTGACAGGGGAGGGCAAACAGCAAGCAAGCAAGCCAATTAAATTGTCCCTGAAATCCAAGGGGGTTACATGTGGCACATGGTGGCAATCAAACCAAGCATATGCACAGTGACGGGCTCATTTGTACAAAAACAAAATCAAGACAATTATTTCTGCAGCTCTTTCCCATCCTCTTCACTGTCCAACACCCATGTCACGATCTTGTGCAGTACTGAGGATGTAAATAAAGTCCAATATGAAAGTCTTCCTTGTAGTTTATGTCTTTTCCACCTACGTGTCAACATGTTCTTATGGCATAAACCATGTAGATTATTTTGCCTATTTTAGTGACATACAATAAACAATGGAAATCAGCTGGTAGTATGCATTTTCACATGGACTCATGATTATGGTTCACTAGTCATCAGCTACAATGTGCCATAATGTCAGATTTGACCATAACCCACAAATTATTTTATCAAACTTAGTTTAATAAAATGTGAAGGCAAACTCTAATTTAACCGACAAAGTGTGCTATTTTAATGAGTTGAGCTTTGAAGTCTGTACATACAACAGACATAGAAGCAGTTTACGTTGTAGACAAAATGGTATGCTATCATCATATTAAACATGTTTACAAGTAGTAGGGAGGATTAAAGTTTAGTGCAATACAAAGGTTGTGTTAAAAAATCCCAGCCGAATACGTTTTGTTTTAATTTAAAGGAAGTAACCCATTAAAGTATTTTTTTTAAATAAGGCTTAAAAAAGTGGACCGTTCATTCCAGTCACAGGTGTCTTCTCTTTCCCGGAGATTTTTGGCCGTTAGTGTTGCCGTACCGAGTGACGTCACTTCAGAGCGACAACTAACAATGGTAAGTGAGCAAGCAATTTTCTCATCGGCTCGTATATTTATTTTACTTAAACATCATATTCGCCAATACAACTTTAAATCATGGTACTTGAAACGTTAACATTCGTGCTGTCGTGTCGTTTTAGACGGATTTATGTCTTATGTGTGAACTAACAACTTGTATATAAATGAGAGTAGGGTAGAGCCTAAAGCTAGCAACATTAGCTTATTTTTCTCGGTTTGAAGCACTCGTTATCCTAGCTACTATTAGCATAGTCATTCATATGGTAACGGCTAGCTTTTCCCGACTTCTTTCAAGTTTGTGAGGTTTTTTGTGGATGACAGTGTTACATATTGTTTCTATAGCAATACAAGCGAACGTGTTGAATTCAGCTATGCTGGCAGGTAATGTTAACGGCGACGTAAGCTAACTTCACTGTAAACAGCTAAGCTAATGAGCTATGAAGGGAAATGTCTAACTAACCAGAAAGGCCAAAATGCAATGGTGGATATTTTTCTTTTCAGCTGTTTTTAACATATCTGATATTCTTTTAGGGTCAAAGCCAGAGTGGAGGCCACGGACCGGGGGGAGGCAAGAAGGATGACAAGGTGAGGATGACACAGCTTCTGCTAGCTTAGTGTCTGACCGTTTTGTTTTGCTAGCCACATATTATCCTTCGTGTGGCCTCTGAACTAAACGAGTTAATCGTGACATTACATTTCAAATTTAAAAAACCCAAATTGTATTTTAACATTTTAAGACATTTTGCATATTGACACGTTTGGGTAATTTATTTTGATCGTCTAAATTGACAGTTAGTGCTGTAATATATGATTATCAATAAAGTAATTGCCTTGTGTTTATTTATTTATTAAATATATAAGATTAATTATAGGACATTTTGTTTTGCATAAGCTCGTATTGTCTGACAAGCCATCCTGGTCTACTAAAGGCCTTATTTAAAAAAACAATGGCTGTTTGTGCCATTATGTCAAACAATAAATGTTTTGCTGTAGGTGATGAGATTCTGGCTATTTCCTTTTCTGACATTTGTCATCATCCCACTTTGTCCCAACTGAAGGATAAGAAAAAGAAGTATGAGCCTCCAATTCCCACAAGAGTTGGCAAGAGAAAGAAGAAGACCAAGGGACCAGATGCTGCCAGTAAACTACCATTAGGTAAGGAACTGCAAAGACATAGACATGTGAAGACGTGTTTTTATCTGTCTGGTGGCCTGTTTTTGTTTGAGCTGTATTTCATAAGAAGTCTTGAGCTCTAAGGTCTCCTTCCTAACGCTATTTAAGCTCACCGGATACAACTAAGGATACTCAGATTGGTATACAATTAAAACTCCTTATTTGGCAATATAAAAGAGAACAAAATGTTACAAGCGGTCATGATATTGACAGCATTCAAGCTGAAGAGGCTCTGTGAAACATCAAGTTTTTGGTTGGATGAATTTGGTATTTATGTTATTTTTTGCTAACACTACATATGCTGACCTTTTTGTTTGTCTTTCAGTCACTCCTCACACTCAATGCCGCCTCAAGCTGCTGAAGCAGGAGCGGATCAAAGATTACCTGTTGATGGAGGAGGAGTTCATCAGAAACCAGGAGCAGATG